GATAAATATTTATTTAATATTTTTATGTAATAATTTATGTTATAAATTTACTAAAATAAATTTTAAAAAAATATATAAGAATCTTAATTTTTTTTAATAAATTATTTATAACCCATCAGCAACCTTATCCGAAACAACCAAAAGTATGAAAGAAGGTTGTTTGTCTTGCCCTTTAGCTTAGCTTTTGCTCATATTCAAAGGCCATTTTGATGACATTATTATATATCGGAAATTTCTTATCATTGTTGACATTGATTGTTGGTTTTCATGTACTTCACTGATCTTTGTTGTGTTTTTTAGTTTTTACGTAAAACCAATGAGATATCTTTGGTGACATCAGTTTTTCTTTGGAGGAGGGTATGGGTGAATACGATTTCTTCTACCCAAAGTTAATGAGATAAAGATGGGTGACCAATAACGATGGAGATTAATTATCAATTAGGGTAAAACATTTGGATGGTAGTTGGATCAGTTTATTGAAGGAAAAACAAAGTTTCATGGGGTAATAATGGTTGTGGATTTGGGTTCTATAAATTATATAATTATTAAAATAAAATTTACTTTTATGAATTATTTATAAGTTTTTTAAATATATTTTTAGACAAGTTTCAAAATTAATAGTTTTTTAAAAACAAATGCAAATTGTATTTACACGTTTATCAATGAAATATGTTTTGTGAAAAATAACTTTTTTTAATTGTCTAAAAACTGAGTTATGGGTTATATAAATCGGTTGTAAATAAGCCACTTGCATGTTTATATAAAGTATGCTTGAATACATAAGTTAATTAAATATTTTATAAGTCTAAAAAATTTATGAAAATGGTAAGTTTTTTTTATAAGTTGTGAATATTTTTTTTTAAATGAGAAAATGATTATGATTGCGAAAAAAATCAGGGCATAAAAATATATATCCTATCATTAATGTCATTTCAAAAGGTTCATGGAATGATTGAAATAGAATGTTGAAGAATGCTTAGGTTTTTCTCTACAGTCCTAAAACTGCATGGTGTGCAGTTCCAAATCCAACTACAAATTTTATAAAATTTAAAATTAATGAATAACTTTAGAGGATCGAAATAGACAAAAACATTTGGTACTGTATTTAATATTAGATGTAGTTGTTTTTATTTATTATTTTTTACATATATGCATTTTAAAAATTAATGAGGACAACAAAAATAATTCTACTTTAATAGTAAGAAATCATTTTTTTAATATCATGATGCACTGGACTTAATTAGGCCCAATTCTCTCTACTGTTTGAGAATTTATACTTTCTCCTTTTATTTTTATTTGTCTATTTTTAAAAATGATTTATTTTTATTTATTTATAAATTTATGATCATATTATTTAATCTTAATTTTTACCTAATTCTTAAATACATTACTCACTTATCATAAAGAAAAATATTAGTGAAGGAAGATATTAAGTTAAAAAAAAAAGTAATTTAAAGATAAAAATATTATATTGTTTAATTGTTTGTTATCGTCTCAAGTGGTTGGATAAAAAGAAATGAAAGAAGTTATTTAAACAATAATCACAAATGCAATATGTCATATGCATGTTTTTTGCATTATTCTTTAATGAAGATTAAAATTTTTATCTTAGTGACTGACACTATTTTTTAATATCAACTTTTATTGTGAAATTATTAAAATAAAATTTTAATTAAATAACAACGCAAAAAATACTTAATGTATTAATATATTGCACTTGATTTTTTTTTTCTCATAATTTTTTCTAAAGATAAAAATAGATTTAACGACTTACAGATAAGAAACTGATGATATCCTTTCGGCCTTCTCTTGTCCGAACTATGTCCACAAAACATGTTTTCAACATAGTAAAGTATGCAGTTTAGATTAATTGAAACATGTATTTAAATCATATTAAACAATTCAAAATTTATCTCATCAAAATCAATTCTACTCAAATGAGCACTAAATAACTTTTCCTCCAGGTGCTCAAATGAGGAATGCTTTTACACACACAACATATATGTATATATATGGAAAGGATCTTCACAGGGACCCGATAACTTTGATGTCCTAGGAATGCTTGAATTTGTTTGTCTTTTAAGGAACATGCTTCACATCAAAGATTTTAGATACATTATAACTTACCAAACACTGGAAAATTCGAAAAGATATTCTAAGTTCAGACATGTTTAATCAAATACCACTAGAAAAGTTTCATAAAATCAATTAATTTCGTTAATCATCCATTTATCCTTGTCTTCTTCAGGGAGGCTGGTGTGAATGTGTATACAAATTTCATACACAGACACTACAAAAAATTGAAAAACTGTTTTTGGTTGTTTAAAATCACTGCAACTTAATTTTCTAGCGTTTAAAATAAGTGCCACTTTAACGGGTGCCACAAATGAAGTGCAAGAAAGTGATCAAAGTTCCTGACAGCTTAAAACCGCCAAAAATTGCTTCTTGTTCTGAGGATTAACACCGCCACAATCTTTTCTTCAGATTGTAAAAGTGGAACCTAAATTTTTTGGGGTTGTAACCGCTCAAAATTTGTAGAGTATTAGGAACAATTTGCAGTCGCCAAAATTACATAGTATCTATATACCTTAAATCATATGCTAAAATTAATTTTTACTTGTCTCACCAACTTGATATTAACTAAATCACATACCATATGGTTAAGATGTGAAATAGTTATCGACTGAGCGATACACTTGATTTCTACAACATTTCCATCTGCATGTCAAAGCAGCGTGTAGCTTAGAGCACAACGCTTTTACTCACTTGATTTCCTCAACATTATCATATGATTATTAGCCTTGCATTTTGCTATATGGACAACTTCGAAAAAATATAGCGACACGTTTGCAAATACCTAAAAACATTCATTTTCCATCGGTGGTAACGGATTCTGCAATAAAATGAATCTTGAAGAAAGAGATAATGACTTCATAAGCTTAGGAGGTGCATAATAATGGAGGAGTGGAGAAGCTCTGATCCGTGAATAGATAGGTCATCTCTGATTATCATAAAGGGATGGTACAGAAAAGAATCAGTGTCTTCATTGCTCTTCATGTTTCTGCATGCCTTTAGATTATAATTGACTTTGCAAGAGCTTAATGCAAATCTACCTCAGAACGAGTTTTTATGGGAGGAGTGAATCAAATGAGTTGCTTATTGTTCTGGATAATTGGTGTGAGCCTACCTTATAAGACACCAAGTCCACGTCCGTCAGCATCACCTCTTTGTTTTTGGTAAAGTATTATTATTGTTAGACTGAATTGAGCCAATAATATTCACTTAAGATCTAAAAAATATATAAAAGTAATATAAACCATATGATTCACACTTTTCATTTTTGGTCCATTTGTGATTCACTCTTTCTCAGGCTGTTTTGACACAAAATCCAAACCCAATCCCAAAAATGAACTCCAAAGCTTATTTGCCCAAACTTTTAAAACACCTCTTAAGTGATGTATATAATTGTGCCTGTAACTGTGTTATTATATCTATAATTATAGAAATTAGTATATTTGTAATTATAGGATCAAAAGTAAATTCAAGAATCGTAGTTGTGCCTAAATTAAAAAAATTGTCAACAGATTTGTTTATGTATATTACTTCACAGAGAAAAATAAAATATAGCTCAAGTTTTTACCTTATTTTGAATCTTCTTCCTTTAAATTATCACTTTAGTCTGTCTTTTTGAATATAATTTATTTATTTATCGATTTAGAAATTTATTATCATACTATTTATTGTTTATTATACCTTAATCTCTACTTAATTTGAAAAAAAGAATTACTTTTACTGTAACTGATGTCCTTTTTTTCAAAATATAGTAAAATATGCAGTTTAGATTAATTGAAACATGTATTTAAATTATATTAGACGATTCAATATTTATCTCATCAAAATCAATTCTACTCAAATGAGTTTGCACATGAGTTATACTTTTTGTATCACTACATAAATGCTTTTAGGTATTTCTTTTATATAATAATAATAATATTACACTTATATAAATTACACTTACTTTCACATCACTAATAATTTAAAATAGAAAACATTTTTTTATCAATTTAACTATTCAATTATAATTATAATATTACCTATATTATTTATGTTAAATTTTATGAAAATTGAACTACGATTGTTATCAAAGAATTTTTATTTTTATAACTTTCAAAAGTATATATTATATTAATTTTAATATATATAAATAAAGTATCAAATAATCTTGAATTAATATAAAATTTTCTATATATAACATGTCTAATTTTTTATTTTATAATTAAATTATTTAAAAAAAAAGTTAAGATGAATGTAACTTACAAAAAGTTAATAAGGCAGCATTTCTTTTTGCGATTTTGGTAATTTTGCTCTAAGAAATTAGAGTTTGCATTTGTTCCATCCACGAGGTTAATTATCCACAAATAATTCCTTGCATATAATAAAACAAATATTTCGTGCATAGCACGGGTAAACTAATTAGTAAGTATGCATATCTAAGTATTTTTGTATTTTATATAATAAATATTTTTATTTAAATTTTTTTTAATTTAATTGATTCATATCTGAGTATATTGACCAGTATTTTTCTTCAATATAAAGAAAGAAATATCCATTCATTAATATCTTGAAAAGAAAGAACAAAATGGAGTACACTCAAATAATTCAAAATATACATATATTGATCAACATGCGATCACAACATCCAACGAACAATTTATTAGAATTTGGTCTCTTAACTGAACTTAAATTAACAAGTATCACAAACCAATTTATTCACTCACAGTCATAACAACACAACGTGACTTATAACACATTTTTCAACACACCCGTTCTTATATATTCTCTATTATTTATTAATTTTTTTTAAAAATTACAGAATTATGAATTGAGCTCATTAAATTATGAATGACATCTCCGTAATTATGCATTTTTAATAAATTTCACTTAATAATAAATAATATATTAAAAAATAATATTGTTGCCAGCATTTCTATACCACACAGTCACGAAGCACCGAACCATTTGGAACAACTGTATACAGAGCAGAGAGTCTCCAAAGCAGTCAAACATATAATAAGGTTTGCTGCCAAAAACGTAAGACACGGCCAAGAACCATACACATACTTCTTCATTCCCCCTTTCACCTTCACCTTCCAACTCGCATCATAGTAAGCATTCACATTATCAATGGCCTTATCCAAAAATGGAACCTTAGTCACTGTCACCGACGTTGTCATTCCATTCCACATGGACGCTACCTCTTTATCACTCTTAAGCCTATTCACCAAAACCCCACTTTCTCTTAAAATCCTCACATCCTCTTCTGTGTCTATTATACCATTCATCAACTCCGTGTAGCGCGTGAACACCATTCCCTCAGGTGCAATGCATGCCTCGTAAGCCACAAGGTTCCTCAAAACGACTTCAGAGTTGTGGTTTAGATGAATAACTGGGAGGTGAAACATAGCTGATGACATGTCAAATTTGATAGTGTTTAACCCTCCTCTTGTGGGACAAAACTTGACCCCAATTTTTGAAAGCTCTTCAACGCTTGGAATTGCAATCTCTTCCACCAAAAGGCCTTCAGTTGCATCTTTGTGTTGAGCCGCGACACTCTCTGCTTCTTCAATAACATCATGTGCTGACAAAACAATGTCATTTATGACACCTGTGCCACGGAACCTTAAAATAGAAGCTATGATATTCCATGGCACGGTAACCAATTGCAACATGAGTTTGGACTTGAAGATTTTCGAGAAGACTTGAATTGGTGCACAAATGAGAAAACACATGAAGTTAATTATGGCTTTAAGGGGACCAATGGGAATCTCATCATCATCATCCATATTTTTCTTCTCCTTCTCTCTATCAATTTCATCTCCAAAAGGCAATAATAACTCGCAGTGTGCAAAGATGGTGTAATACAAGAGCTCAAGCAAATGTGCCCTTGTGAAACACTCTTGTTTGAAACGTTGTTCATCTATGTGTTTGATTGGTGCAAGATCTTTGCAGAAACCAATTAGCATAGAGGCCAAAGCCTCATATTTGTTGTCTTCAGGGTTACAGGAAAAATGAATCTCTTTAAGTAAAAAAAGAGGTATTTGATTTTCCAACATGATTATGTCCCTAAGAACCGCATGGTTCCATGTGTTCCTTCTAGAATGTTCCATCAAGTGACCTATCTTCAACGAGCTTCTTCTGCCCAAAGACATTGACCGTTGCCACCTCCTATCAAAAGGGAAGGTTTTAAGGTAAAGGAACAAGAAGCTCGCATCAATGGCTAGCATCCAAGCAAGCGTTTCTTGATCAAAGTCTAAGTAACGGTGGTAAAATGATCTTATGTGTGTGTCATTCTGTGCGACGATTTGGGTCACAAAATCGAAGAATTTGATGGGTCTCATTTTGTTTCGAACCTTTTTGGCTGTGGCTAGTTTGTGACGCTCCATTTCAAATAGTTCGAGCCTTCGGTGATGGTAAGGGCCAAGGGCTATGACTTGTGGAGTGTATGCTTCTTTTTTGGTGGATAACAAGGCTTTCGGTACGTTGAAGATTCTCATTGAAGTGAGCTCTTCGGTGTCTTCAGTGTCCTCTTCAAGGAAGCGACTAATGTTTATGACCCATTCATGATCATGAGATTGGGTTTGGTTATGGGTAGGTTCCATGATATTGGTTTCAATGGGAATTAAGGGTTTGCTGTGATCAGGTGTTAGACGAAGAAAACTAACAATTGCGACTAGAATGAATTGGAATAGCTAGCTGTTTAGACTTCCTTTTATAGAATAAGGTAGTCGTTTGGTTCAACGACAGAAATACTGTGACAGAAATACAGATACTAATATTTATTTTTGTATATTATATTTAAAAAATAAATAAAATATTATGTATTATATTTTGTGTTATGTTTAAATATAAAAGATAAAATAAAAAAAATGAAAGTTAAGAATAACATATGTAATTTTATATAATTATCAAAAATATTTTAGACTTCAAAAATATAACATTCATATTTTTAGGATAGAAATACTAAGTATATCTCTTATTCTAAGATAAAACTGATATCTTTCGAATTTATGTTTTTAATATTTTTATGTGTCTCTATTTTTTTTTAGTGAGATGCTAGCCAAACATAATATGTATATATCTATCTTAATTAATTTAAAATTATTTTATATAATATTTTATATTTAAAATATATTTTTAAGAAACATACATATATTTAACAAAATAAATAAGAAACTAAATCAATAATATGTAGCATTATATACCACGGCAATGATCAAAGGTTTCAATAATGAAATCAATGATAAATATATTTTACAATTTTGTATTGACGACAATTTTCATGCACCGTATGACGTCTTCTTTTTTAGACATTTGATTTGACGGTAAAATGAGAAAAATATATAAATAAATATAAAAAGAATGTAAATATATAATGCAATTATTCTAATAATAGAATCCAATTATTAGAATAGATTTCACCACATTGGACATGTGCCGAAATATATTTGAATAATTGAATTTTCTACATCCGTGCTTATAATTATGTGTTAGTTATGGTAATCACCCAAAAGGTTAATGTGATACATATGCAATATTAATTTGACTTTCAATCATTCATATACGTGTGCTATTACATAGAAGCCTTCTTTAGTTTGATGTCTATTTTTCGTTTTCTAAAATTATTGTTAGTCATTCATTCATGATGTCTGGAATTTATACAAAGATTAAAGAAAGCAATAAATATCTTTAATTAATAGATTAATTTACTAAATTATTCTTACTGTTTATTCTGTTTAATTATTAACTAACTTATTACTCAAAACTATTATATATTTTTAATATTTATTTTGGATGAAATTAATATTTTATTGAAATTTAAACGTCACTTAATATAATATTTTTCGCTAAATCGTCGCTTAATTGGAAATAAATGAAGTATAAATATTAATTCTTTTATTTACTCCAAATATATTTTAGTCAGAATCAAATATTATTTCTTTTTGAAGCATAAATATTGCTAAAATAGTGTTAATTCTTTTAATAAAATATTTTTATATAAAAGGTATAAAATTAAACTGATCAATATTTTAAAACCTAATCATTTCTTAACTCAATAATCTTGGACATCAAATCGATGTTTATCAAGAATTAAACTACTGACATTTATAAAAAAAAGTTAATTAAAACAAGTAATTACGTTAAAAAAAAAGTCAACGATTGCAATGCATTCTAATTGGTCACCACCTACGTCATAGAGATTCAAATTATGTCCATTTCTTTGTCCATTTTCTCATCTAACCATTCAAATTATTGTACAACAAATTTTATGAGTTTTATACTAACAGCGTAGTGTACTGACAATTTAATGTTTCTTTGATAAATTTATGTAACGTAATGTAACACTTCCTAGATTTCTCCGACTGGTTTTTTAATTTAATAGTATTCTTTTTGGGTTAATCTTTTTTTATGAGTCCAATTCTAGTTATGGAATATATAGAAAATGGAAAGTAGTAAAAAATAAATTAATTTGGGCCAAGATGAAAGAAGAAAAGGAAAGAAATATTGCATAATATATGCATTTTTAGTGATATTAAAATTGTGAAAATAAAGTTATAAAGAAAAAAATCTTAGCATACACGAGAGGATATTTCAAAGTCTACGAAATTAAAACTGGCCAAGAAGGATAGTTAGCCATTTCTAGGATAGGTAAGAGCTAATGGCTTTAACATAATTATATCAACACATAAAACTGCAATCAATAGCAAAAAAATGCAAAATTTTCAAACAATATTTTTAGGATGTTAAATATTTCAAGAATGTTAGTTTAATTAAGTTTCTTAGTAAATTAATTTTATGGAAGGGGATGCAGTTCAAGATTATTATAAAGATAGGTAAGATTTTTAAGAATATTTTAGATTTATTAAACATGTTTATGACGATTTTCAAAAATTATAATTCTGAAAAGATATGCTTCTTCATAAATATAACTTATAGGAATGAAAAGGATGGTAAATAGTAAACGTGGAAATGTACATGCAGCTGGAACTTTGAATATCACCGGGTCAAATATCAAACAATTAAACTTTCTAACTAACATATAATTAGGAATTAACAAAAGAGAACATGATTAAGAAGCATGGCCTATGATTTTTAGCCAACACAGAGCTTTGAAGGAAACGCCTATTTGAGTAGAAAATACAAAGAAACTTCAGAGATATGCGAAGGAAGTGAAGATGGTAGTACTGTGAGAGAACGATAAAGAGATCCACGTTTTTTTTTTCTTGATAAATGTGTTGCTCATTTCTTCTAAGGCTAGTTCACCTATTTTTAAATATTCTCCCAAGAAAAGGCAAGAATTTTATACCTGAATATTGAACTTTAAGATCTTATTATTTGTGGTAGACAAATTTTTCTGTCAAGGTCATTCTTTTCGGCTGAACGAGCAATGCTTTGACTGGATCTGTTTGGCTTTGTCCGTATGATTAAACTCTACCACGTTATTATTATCAGCATGACAATTTCTAAGTTAATTAAAGTAATTAAGCATTGATTTTAACAACAATAAGCATTTTACATGTAAATACAATACAGATTTGTAGGCAGAAAATAACCCAATACGCTTAGTTGTCAACGTCAGACAGCTTGATACGTTACAAATCGATTAAAGATACGAACTCCCTTACACAAGTACGTATACTTTAATATTCCCTCTTTGATAAATTCAATTATTTTGCCCCACGTTTTCTTTCTATAGAAGATAAAATTCTATTTTATATCCTGGAATTAAAAAAGTAAATGTGTTATTGTTATAATGCGAAATGAATAATATGAAAGAACATTACAATAATTTAAGAGATTTTTGAAGTTTGAGACCCTGCACTAATTTTGAACGCTTATCTTTTAGTATGAGCTTTTAATTAAAAGTATTCCACGGAACTCTGTATCTAGTTGATAGAGCTAGTTGCAACTGAAATTACAATGAACTAAATGAATTCATGAAAAATATATTTTTATTATGCATGAGAAATAGAAATGATTTTAGAATGTGAACTCTATTTGGTATTTGAAATACTAAGAGATGATGCCCCTAATCTTAAAATTAACTAATAAACACTAGTGGCATTTTCCTTTTGTTTTACCTATAAAGAAGAGACAAGCATGTATGTGTATCTCTAATTATTGAGGTCATTGGACATTGGGCATATGGTAGGAAAGTGGGATTCTAAAAGTCTGCTTTTGATACAAACAGCAAAATCGTTATCAATATTGCATTACCATAATAAGAACGACACCCGAAATTGAATTAATAATGGTCATTGCCAACAAAAAGACACAGAACCTGTTTCCTTTCTCCAAACAAACAAACAGACAATGCCTTATTACCGAATCTTGGACTGAAAATATGTATGCAAAACTTGTCAAGTTCACATTAATTATTACAATTTTTTAAGCATTAAATAACTCTATTAAATATTTTAATCTACCATAACAAGTATGTATAAAGTTCTTGTTATCATTTAAAATATATATATATATATATACATATTTTAATAATTTTATATTTTTAATATATTTTATTGGTTACACGTTAAAATAATAATTAATAAATGAAAAAAATACTATTTGATAAAAATAATAAGATAAAAGATGATAGGATTGAGCATTCAATATAAGATCGGCTGTTATTCTATTTTATGTTTCATGAACATTAAAACAGTAAAATATAGATAATATTACGTTATTTTGTTCAATATTTGATATAAATAAAAAATATAATTAAATATAAATTATATTTAAATGATATTTTTTATAAAATTTAAAATAATAATATAGAAATAAATTTTAATATAATTTTCTTAAAAAATCAGTTTAACATTTTGATTTTTAATAAAAATATTAAAATCGAAAATAATTTTCTTTATAACTAATACTGAATTTTTGATATTAAATTATAATAATTTCTTAAAATTTTTTGAGTATTATATAAATTATATTTAATTAGTAAAATTACACTTTTATAAAATATAATATATATTATTTAAAAAATAATAATTTAACAATTTGACTTTTCAATAAAAATAAAATGAAAAAATAACTATGTGCATACATAGTATTTAAATTTTGATATTAAAATTTGAATAATTTTTTAATTTTTTTACAATTAAAATTTTAAAATAAAATATAACTGAATAAAATTATTATAAAAAATTTATTTTTTTAAGTAATTTATTGAAAAAATTTGATATACAAATTAATAAAAACAATCTGAAAAGGAAAATAAATTCAGAAAGTATTTCCAAAAAAAAAATCATTTAAAATTTTTTTAATTTGATAAAATTATTTATTGATAAAGCATTTCTATTTTTTTTTTATTCATAAGGGCTCAACTTAAAGTCGCAGGTACAACTAACAACCTAGTATGAGGTTACAAACACCTAAAAAGTTCAGGTTAAGAAAGGAAACCAAATAAGAATGACACTTATCTAAATAAGAAATATCTAAGGGAGCCTCAATGCCTAATTTGGCCAGCATATCAATATACTTGTTACCTTCTCTTAAAATGTGTCTAATTCTAATAAAAGTAATACATTTTAAAAAAATTTAATAGCAACAATCAAATTAGAACAAAGATTGTTACAACTTTGAATGTTCAATACCAATTGTAAAGCATTTTTAGAGTGAATTTTAATCCAAATTACTTTGATATTCTTCTAAACTACTAGCTAAAAACTATAGAATAGGCCCCACAATTCAGCTTCTTTTGGAGAATAATATACAAGACCCTTATAGAAACCAGTCAGCAGAAAAATTCTTATTGCTATCTTTAATTAGATCACCATATCCAATACTTTTTATAGTTGGGGACATTATTAACATTAAGTTTAATGTGACCCCGAAGAGGAGGATACCATCTATTCTAAATATAGATGTCTCATTTTTTTCATGGTTTTTGCCTTACTCTTGTTATAACAATTCAGATACTCAAATTCATAGCAAATTTCATGGTATATGAAACTATAGGTAATTGTTGAATTTTGAAAAATGGCACAATTCATTTCTTTTCAAATATACCATATTACCAAATCATATAACCTGATTCAACTAGAAAAGTTATTCACCTAAAAATTGAATAAATTACTAAAAAACCAATTAGATAAGTTTCTGCTAAAAAAAGGCCTAATTACAAGGCAATATGAAAAAATTCCAAACTTATTTAACAAGCCAACAATCTCTAAGAACATAAATTATAAACTTTAGACTAGTATAATATTTAGGACAAAGAGAGAAGTTAAATATGTGTCTCATAAATCTTTTCTCATTAGTTAGTAATTTGCTATTAATTATTTTATAAAAAAAGTTAATAATTTTAAGAGGACTATTCTATTTCTAAACAAATTTAAAATATTATTAAATAAAAAACTTAAAAAATTATAAGTTATTTTAAAAAAAAACGTACCGTTATTAGAGAAAATATTTAGTATTTAATAATAAGATTTACTTAACAAATCGTATATTTTTATTATTTAATATTTTTATAAAATAAAAAAAAGAAAATGTCAAGACTCAAGAGTTAGTAAAAATATAATTTATTTTTAATATATTATTAGTGTAAGTATTTTATACTATTAACGAATTAAAGTATCAATATAAATTTTATATTAATTATTATATAAGTTATAATATTTACTAATATGATAAATTATAATTAAATAAAAATATAAAAACCATTTAGAATGAATTTAAATTACAGATGTAAAAAATAGTATACCACGAAATAGCATATAATTGGTGAAACCCAACTGCTCCTCCACTGAGGCATTCCCACGCACTGTGGTTGCCTTGTGAACTCTGATGCAGCATGACGAGACAGGGCTTTCACTTTCCCAAACTGACCCAACCAGCTGTGTTCACAATCAACGGTCCAAAATCGATCCTGTCCAAAGACAAGATAAATCGACGCTCCAAAATCTTCAACTCCCAACTTTTGTGTCAGTCTCGTTGCCTCGGATTACTCCGCTCTCACTCTTTTACTTACACACCCCTCAAGTGCTGTTTCCACTGCTCTCACTCACTTCATCACTCTCTCTCTCTCTCTCCCCCTCTTTTCTAGGGTTTCTCTCTCTCCTCTCTGTTCTTCCTCCATTGTTGGTCAGGCTCCGTTATCTCTGTTTACGGTTCTGTGTTGTGGTTTGTTTGCAACTCTGTTCGGTGCGAGTGTTGTGATTCTTCTTCGGTTGTTTTGAGGAATGTTAGGGTTTTTGAGAGATGGATAGCGCGTGGCAGATGCAATGTGATTCGGTGTTTGAGTCGTCGACGTCTGCGACGGTTTCGTCTGCACCGTCGCCGGAGCCTAGGGGTCAGGTAACTCGAGTGCACACTTATTTTGAGTTTTCTTTGTTTGTCAGGGCTATATCTCTGTCAGTGACTGTGATTACTTCCTCATTGTGTACGTTTCGGTGATTACGGTTTAATGTGATGTTGGACGTGCGTTTTGTGAATGTTCTCGGGTAAAAGCGTTGTATGTATTTTTTAAAATATGAATTGCATTCTTGTTCCGATGCGATTAACTGTTGCATTGTTCAACGGCGATGACAGTGTAAAATGTCTGTATTTGATTTTTATCGCTTTCATGATGTTGGATGAGTGATTATATCTGTTTATTTTTTATATGAACCAATGGGAATAATGTATTACGTCATGTGACAAGTATAGTGGAATTCTTTTTTCTCATGTTTATTGAATTCCAGCGGTGGAAATGGAATCTACTTGGAATGCGTGTAAGCTTACATTATATGCATTATTTGAATTAGTAACTGGTAATGAAATTTAAGTTTAGGTATTGCAGTAGTTTGATCAGGTGTATACCTTATACTAATTGTAATAAAAATTTACCGTCCCTGAACAGTCTTCTACAATGCAAGAGGTAAAGCCTTTTTTCTTCGGAAATTATGTATCTGGCTAGGCTCTGCTGCTGTAGATTTTCTGGTTTCAAGTTTAAAAGTAAATTATAAGAACTAAGATGTTCGGAATTCTCCAACATCCAGAAATCCTTTATTGTTTTGTGAATAATATCCTTGCTGACAATGGAGAAATGATATTGGCAATCTACTTGGGGAAATTTTCTATGACATTGGTTAAGCACTAATGACCACAAGGGGTTTGCGATTAGTTTGAAATTTGTAGTTTTTATAACCTTTTAGAGAGTTTGGTTCTCATTCGACTTAGGGAAATTTTATTATTATATTCTTTTCCTGTTGGTTCATCACTGCTCCTTTATCTCAGTAATTGTGTAAATGATTTATGCTGCATATATTTTAATTTGTTTTATGTGGAGGCTGCTGCTAACTAGTAAATGTAATAAATGGCCCAGTGATCAGGTAATTGTAGCTTCAAGACTCTTTTGAGCATGATGGGGGAATTTTTATAGTATTGGTCTTTGGGGTTAGCGTTCTCAGCTGCTTCTATGATCCAAGGTGTAAAAACACTTGAAATAGTAGTATGCCTGTGTTGGACACTTAAAATAATCCTAGATGCTGTTTAGCATTTTATTACTTTTATTTTTGAACTTTTATAAGAATACAAATGAGGCTACTAGACAGTTGGATAAGTTATAGCATTTTATTATGTCTGCAGTAACTAATGCAGTAATAGTTAGATTTTCTGTTTTGTTTTAAGGTTTGTGTTTTATGTTTATTTTATTCCTATTTCATATGTTGTATTATAGACATGTCATGTCCTATTATTTTAAAATTTACAGTATTTCTGCATCCATGTTGTTATTGCATCTGTGTTACATGTCATGTGCATTATATGGTCTCCAGATTTGTATGTGCGAAGTCCACCTTTTTTATATAACACTGTGGGAGTGTTTGGAAGAGCTTATGGAGGACACTATATGGAAATAGCTTATAATTCCCATAAGCTCTTTTAGCATATTTTAACAAGATTCTTGATATATCTTATCAAAATAAGCTGATTTCAGCTGATTCCAATAAGTTTCATGGTTAAATTTATAGCATAGATCTTCATATAGAAAGAGCTTATTCAAAAATTGCTTAATTAAGCTGTTTACTCAAATGATCCCTTTGTCTTTTGGAATTAGAAGTTTATCTGAAGATTAATGTGTTTTATTAGTAATTGTACTATTTTTATAACTCTCCTTCCTGTGTTTTTTTAGAAGGGGATGAATGCAAGCCATTGTCTTTATCCGCAAGTTGCCCATGGTTTAGAATCAAAATTTGTTGGCGGGAAGCAAGGCCTCTTTTACCCAAGCTTTCCCCATTCAACCACCCATGGATCAAGCCATGCCAATGCTGGAAATTCATTTCTATCTCTCCTTTATGGTCCTCCATCTTTGTTACAGGGTGATTTCCGGGAGTTATCTGATCGCAAGCTTTACACCTCATCTGGTGATTGTACTCCTGCTATTGGGAATTCTGTCGTTGATTCAATAGAAAGTGGAACCGTCCCATCATCCAGTGGGGGGCTGATAACAGAAAATTTAATTAATTGTAAGCTGCAAAGCTATGCAAACACTTCTCCTGAGATTTCTTCCCGTGCAATGGTTGGTCTGAGTAGTGACCATAATTTTGCCTTCCATAATATTCAGAGTGGCAAAACTTCTACTCAGCCCACAGTTTCTCAGGGTGAGAAAGCTAGGGAGTTTTTTTCTTCTTCTGGGCAATGCGGAGGTGCTAGCCCTGCATCTAGTCTAAATGTTTGCTGCTCAGATATTCAAAATACACAACACATGGCTTTGGAACGGTACACATCTACGTATGCAACTTCTTTTATGAGTGGGTGTCCTCGTGTGTTCTGCATGGGAAAAAGTGAGTGCTAGAAGAACATATGTTCTGATTGTTTAAGGTATATCTTTTGTATATATATTGAGAACTCACTTTTCTATTGTCAATTTAAAGGTGGCTATCTTCTTCTTAGCAATATTGGGCTTCTTGGTATTGTTTGCTCATGCCATTGTTGCCACATGTCCGTCCTTAAGTTTTGTGAGGTAAATTCCTTCAAAATTATTTCTGCTATGTAACAAATTAGCATGATTAGCCACATCCTTCTTGAACAGTTAACTTCACATGTTCTGCATAATTAAAGCTGAATGGTTCATCTGTTCTGCTATTGCAGCATTCAGGGTTACATGGTGTCAACCCAGGGGATGCTGTTTGTATGGAAAGTGGTGAGACCATTTCACAATGGCAGAAGCTATACTTCTCGAAGTTTGGGGTATGATGTAGCTTTCATGCTATTTAATGGTTGGTGTGGCATGATACATAATGTATATGTAAGGCTGAGGGCTCTTAGAAATTAATGTGTGTGCTTTATGTTTTACTTATTTAGAATTTATCTACTTCTAGGAAAAGAATCTCTCTGTTTTCTTTTGCTGTTTCTTCCACAAATGACTGAATAATGAAATAAAAGATGCATCTTTTGAGTGTGAATGCTATAAATTCCTACGCTGAGCAGGGTTAAATGAGCAGATTTTTGGTAAAAGTTAGTGAACTGGTTGCTCAGGTGGTTCTGTGTATTGATGTGGCAGTATGAGGCTGACACATTATTGAGTAGATCTAGCCACAATTTGTCAATGGTCATATCTGAAATGTATGTGTACATGTTCTTGTAGGATGCTAAATTACCAATGAATCACGTGAAAATGAAAGTAGCATGTTATACCATGCATGCATTATTTGACACTGACGGGTAAGGAAGGAAATCATTAAGCAAACTATTATATGTTGCACTAAACATACTGATGGATACATGCTCATGAACATGAATGTAGAAGAAAACCCAAAGTTTTGTGCATATATAGTATTTATTTGAAATTTTGAATGAACTGTTGTAAACATGAATTAGCAAAATATCATTTGATAAACAATAAAATGGAAGTTTAAAATTTAACATACTTAGGAAATTGTCACATGATGATGCAAACAAGTTAGATTTAAAATTTTTAAAAAAGTTACTTATACTTGCATATATATATATTTGCTATCAAATATTCAAATTCATTTTTTAAAGGTCCTGTTTTACTCATTTGGACACCATTCATAGTACCACCAAACCATGAACTTCATTCTGATTCTGTCGAGTGCTGTTTTCAAGACATTGATCAGTTGAGGTCAGTGTATTTGTTTCTTGTGTTAAAATAGCAACTACCAAGCAACAATAATAACTTAAGATATAGACTTTGGACAACCTGAAAATGCTAATCTCATTACAGAGGAATAGTTATTCATTTATTAGGCATCTTAGTAAATATTGCTTAGGCAGTGAAAGAACTCTAGCTAGGTTATTAGGAAAAAATCATAATATAAACTTTATGTGTAAATCGTGATATTTTTGTACATTCATTTTACCTGTCTTTTAAAATCATTCTTGGCATTGAGAGTTGAATTTCTTATTTGCATGTGTTTGAAGCAACGAGAACACTGGATGGTGATACTTTTATGATGCTTTAGATTAGGTCTCCAGGGAATGAGAGTGAATGGGACTGGCCAGAAGTAATGTCAACAACAGGCAGTCTGATGAAATCCAATGGATCTGCATCTGATATGTCCAAGACTGATTTGTCTCATATTTTGAGTTCATCTGCAGTCATATTAAGGTCTGGAAAGCATTCTGAGTTTCTGACTATGTTATGTTTCCAAAAAATGCTCATATGGACCACAATTTATTTATTGGTGCATTGTCCAGAAAACAACCGACAACAATCCAGGATGGTTGCAACATTCCACTCAAAGGTTTTTCTGGTATTCCACGAAACAGCTTGTATGATCGGGTGAAAAGCCAATTAATGGATTCTAATATGTATACAAATGCACCAAACTTTCTTGGAACTCAACTGGATGATGGTTGTCAGCCTATACCTCCTTTCCTTGATTCTCTAAAAAGGAAAGGAAACATGCCAACTGTCCACTCTCCTTCACAAACTCCAACAAGCCTTCTGAAAGACCATGAATGCATCATAAAGAAGAATGCAAAAGTTGGTCTTGTGGGCAGAGATGGAGCTTCCTCTAACGTAGAGCTTAGGCTTGGTCAACCACCTCAGACAGGAAATCCAGTTCCATTTATAGAACCATCACTGCTTAATGTCCTTGCCAATCCTCCCAAATTGGACCCTCTGAAGCAGAAGATTAGCAGTGCGTTGAATCAATGTTTTGTCTTAGCTGATTGTTTGGTGTTATATATTTCTATTATTTATTAAGTACTTACTTCTTTTGTTTTATTTTGAAGGAAACTACTTAACAATGTATTTTTTAAATTGGATGCAGACCTCAGCAGGGAGGAGGGATTACAGAATAATTTTAGAAATGCTGCTGGTGCATTCAAAATGGTTGAGGAACAGCCCCAGCTTAAACCCAAGAACTATATGTCTGCAATCAGTAGTGCTTCAGATGCTCCTAAAGCTAGATCAGAAACCAACAGTATGGCCAAGGGTTTACCGTTTTCACAATTTGATAATCAACCCAAGGAAAAGATAAAAGCTAGTGAAAATATGATGAAAGTTGGCGTGCCTATCATGCCAAAGAATCTGCCATCTGATTTTAGTACCATGCAGTTTGGTTTTACTAATGCTCCCTGTAGTAGTAATGATCATACTGGAAGACAATCAAATAATTCTTTCCCAGGGATGAATAAATATTTGGATAGTGATAAAGGGGTGAGATTTGCTGAAGACACTTTTGCCAAAATAAATTCTGGATTTGGAATTTGTCGGTTAGTGGAATATCCAAACTGCATGACAAGAGCTGTTGGTGGTAGTAATAACTGTATTTCAGCTGTTAATACAAAGATATACGAATCAAATTATGAATCAAGCTTGCCTTCAGAAGCATCTGTGGCTGCAAATTTTTTGCATGGTACAAGCAATGTATCAGCTCTTGGACAAGATAATCACATGACTCCAGAGACAGCCATTCCATTTGGAGGAATTTTCAAGGGCCTTCCCTCTCTGGTTTCAAGCTCTTCATCAAATCATCTTCCTACTTTGCTGCAGCAGCAGGATAATAATATGGATGCATATTTCCTTGATGAAAACATGAGGTTGCTTGCATTGACACAGATACTGGAATTATCTAAGCAACAAAATACTCTGTATTTTCATGATATGAATCAAAAGCAAGGGAGATCCTGCAATTTTTCAAAAGTTCAGCATTATATGTGTGAGTCGTCAACATCTAAACAAGGTACTATTGGGGCATCACTGAAGTTGCACCAAAATAGAGGGACTAGTGGGAATGCTGAGAGTACAGATAGTTTTGAGAATCTGGCTTCCTTCACAGGCAAGCACAATGCATTTTTATTTTCCCCCACTTTAAGAGTTTGATTTTGCATGCATTGTGGAATTTTTGTAAATTTTATATTTTGTAGTATGCTTGTTTAATGGTTATTGTATTTCTTATAGGTTTGAACAGATATTGTCGCTTGTCTGGCTTGGCACCAATACCTTTACATTCTAAAGAGAAGGAATCACAATGTACACATCCCTATAATCTTCGAAATGAAGAGCCATCTTTGAGGTGATTGCAGACAACTATCATGTTTATGTCATAAGTATACTTGTGTTGCATCTTACTGGAAAGTAATCTTTTTGTGGCTTTGATTTTAAACCAGGCAGTATGTTCAGTCACAGCTTATCTTTCTGGGATCATAAGGAGTATTTTCCCCCTAATTCTATAATTAGGTTTTGGATAAGGGTTATATTTTATTTGGCCGTACAAGGTCATGGAAGAAGATACTAAGGGGTGCATTTGGTTTTATAGAGCATTTAGGCTTATGAAAGTAGCTTACGAGTTCTTTTAGTTATTTTTAGCTTATTTCAACAGGCTTCCTAGTTCCTAGTGAAGCTTATGAAAATTAAATTTTTACTCTGTTTTGATAAGTTCCATGGGCTGATTTAAGACATAAGCTCTTGTTATAAGAACTTATTGAATAAGCACATAATTAAGCTATTTACCCAAACTTAAATCCCAAATGAAACAGGCTGTGTGGTGGGACAGATAATAAGAAATGAGGCTAATTGGTGGGACAGAGGAATCTTGTCAAATATGTGCATGTCAGTTGAGATTGATTCATGGACATGATTGCTTTTCCATTTTTTGTTCTGTCTTGTCAGATCAGAAGCCTGATTTTATACTAACATTTGCAAATTTTTCCTTCCACTGGGAGCCACACCTCTAACAATTTTTCTTCCTTTTATTCTCCCCCAATTCGATGTTTCAGCCTTGGAAAAAACAAAGAGAATGCCAGATCTAGTGCGTGTGAAAAATGCTCTGAGCAACCATCAGATAATCATTTGGGTGGCAAGTACACAGGTGCGGCTCAGGTAAACTATTGCAGAGGCAATTTTTTCTCGGGAATTGAATCCTTCAGTAGAGATTTGAATACTTCAAAGGATCACTTTGAGCAAAGTGGGAAGTTAGATGGCCAAGACTCAAGCAAAATTGGCTCTCATACGCCTCAATGGGGAGATGTGCCAGGTGAGGTCAGGAAAACAGTTTGTGATGCAACGTCTTTAGATCAGATGGCTACTGGTTTGGATTGGGAAGGACAAGACAGTGTTCAACTTGGAAACATTTCTGTGAAACGCTTGAAAAGAACTATTGATATGGAGGATGCATGGAAAGCTCAAGAAAATTCTAATGTCTCTTCTGGATCTTCTGCTCGAGTTGTTAGTCAGGCATCTGTGGAGGTCAATAATGTTGATTCTTGTACCGTTGATCCTGTAGACACTGGTTTTGTCAACAACCTTTTAGTTGATGAAGGGTCAGGAATTGATCAAGGTAGGTCCTCAGATGTAGTTGAAAGTGAACAAAGTGATGAATTTCTTGGCTCAACTTGTGGGAATTACTTGAAAAATGGTTATATGAGAATCTTAAATGATCAACCATGTCGCAGTCTCCTTGATGAGCTTAAACTGTTAGATTCTTTGATATGGAAGAAAGGCCAGGATCAAAACCATTTTTCTGCTAATTGTAAAACCCATCAATCTCAGAGAGTCAAGAAGGGCCTCAAAGGAAAAAAACGAAAGAGAAATGAATTGAGGATTGTAGATGCTTCATTTTCATCCAGAATTTCTTCCTTATTGCATAAAAAGGGTGGTGAAGGTGCTGGAATTTTTAATTCATCTTCCAGTTTAGCAAAAGAAATGCAGATGCGCTGTTTATCTAGCCTGAAAAGATCATCTAACAAGTCTTCCTATGTTGAAACTGGTAACAAACAAAGACAAATTGCATTTTCATCCAAATCTCTCTCTGGTGAGAATCATCTGAACAGGCATGGCAGTGCAAAAGTTAGCTATGAGTCAGAACTAAATTCTGATGCTGAGTTTCACACATGTCCTGAAGTTTCTGGAACAAAGAAATTAAGAAAGGATTTCAGTTCTGGTTGTTTTGAGCAATGTCAAATGCAAAAACCAGCCCATGAGGAACTGGAACCTGAAAATGCTAAGCTGAGGTCATTCTCTTGCAGTAAGGAAAATGCTCCTAGAATCACTAGGCCAATAGTGTGTGGAAAATATGGTGAAATATCTAGCGGACAATTGGCTACAGAGGTACCGAAACCAGCAAAAATTGTCTCTCTCAGCATGGTTCTTGAAACCTCCAAAAGATGTATGGTCCCTACAAATGACATTGCTAGACTAACTTCGAAAAAGAAATGGAAGACATTAAGCATTGGAGCAAGTATTGGGCAATGCTGTGGGAACCCTGGTTTGAAAACTACGGAACATAAAGAAACCCAAAATACAATAATTTGTGATGGAGCAGATGTTGATCTCCCTATGGAGGATTTGGAGAGGGGTGGCAAGCCACCTGTTATTTACACAGGGAAGAAAGCTACCAAAGCTAAGCAGGGGGATATTATTGTAAATAGAGCTGATGCTCCATCGAAGGTGAAGAACAAGGAAATTCGGAAACAGCGTAGCATTAATGAGCTCACAGCTATAGGTAAATTTGAGCAGAGTAACATAATTATTTTTCTAAATAAAGTTGTAGAATTAGTTGATAAAACTAGAAGAATGATGAGGTATGGATTATTTGAAGTAATTAGTTTATTATTCATTCCTTGACTAACGTGCTGGCTTATATGCTTTGGGATAGAAACCTGGTATCTTATTTAAGAAGATATAAGGATAAACTCTAGTTGCAAAGATAGAACACTGCAGAATTATGAGGGTGTATGCTTCATAATGCCCAAGGGTCTGATTCTCTCAAAATGAAAATATATCTCTCTCTAGACCTCTACTGTTATTTATAAGCAACATGCCTTATTTCTGCAACTACTAAACATAACTATATATGTAAATAACTGAATAATGGGTTACTAATTAGCATAATTAAATAACTACTAATGAGGTGACCTAATTTGTTTTATTGGCTGTCATTATTCTACCAAACCTTGTTACTTGTGCTGTGTGAATTCATCAGGAGTCTGATGGTGGTGTTATATCAGTGATGCTTTGTTATATTTACAGCATAGTATTTATTTTGTTGCAAAATGGTATATATTGTTATTTATACACATGCATGTCCTTTTCATTTGAAATATGGTTCCATGCTTTTCTTACCTTGTTCTCTTTTATCCATATTTTCTTAATAATATAGCTATTTGTATGTGTAATTAATAGTTTTCCTGAGAAATGACTGCTCACAATGGTTTTCAAATGCATGCCAGAAACCAAGGTGAAAGATATGTTGAATTGTGCTGAAGATAGAGAGGGTGATTTGTGTAACAAAAAATGTAGAAAGTGAGCAAATCAAAAGTTGTCTTATTTGCTTATGATTTTATTGTGGGTGTGTTATTAATCTTACCGTATGTGTCTCATTGCTGTTACAGCTCTATTCAAGATTACACGAGCATATCCATCATAAATTCAGATGTTTTCTGCTGTGTGTGTAAAAGCTCAGGCAATGATGAAATCAACTGTTTGTTGGAGTGTAGTCAATGTTTAATTAGAGTACGTCAGTGATAAAATTATATTCAACTATTGAACTGTTTGTATTTTCCTATGAACTAAGAGTTTGAAACTGTCTCCAATATCTTGTTTTTTAGGTGCATCAGGCTTGCTATGGCGTTTCTACATTGCCTAAAAATGGACGTTGGTGTTGCAGACCATGCCGAACAAACTCACAAAATATTGTATATTTATTACTGTTCACTCCGATAAGCATTCTGATATCAACCGTTGACCAATTATTCCTTACTATTTTCTTTTCTCTGCTACTCTGTTTCGATAGCCATTATATCAGAGTCTATTTTGGAATTAATTTAACACTTTCATGCTTTTTGTTTTGGGTGGGTCCAACATCAAGGCCTGTGTCCTATGTGGTTATGGAGGTGGAGCTATGACTCAAGCAATACTGAGTCGGGCAATAGTTAAGAGCCTTCTTAAAGTGTGGAATGTTGAGAAAGATGGCATGCCTAAGCATACTACTTCATGTGAAGTTTTTGAAAAGGAAGTACATGCATTTCAATCCTCTAAATCTGGACTAGAAGTGAACCAAGAATGTGTCTCAAGGCCTGAAAATGTTGATACATCAAAAAGTCAGTTGAAATTTCAAATGTCACCAAGTCACATACAACAACACACCCTGTCCTCTGCTTCTAATTTTAAGGTGCATAACAGCATTACAGCAGGAGTTCTTGATCCAACTGTTAAACAGTGGGTTCACATGGTTTGTGGGCTTTGGACTCCCGGAACAAGATGCCCCAATGTTAACACCATGAGTGCTTTTGATGTATCTGGTGTTTCACGTCCAAAAGCAGATATGGTGAGTACCTAACAGAAACTTTAGATGGAGCTTTATGTTGCTCAGCTGGTTGTACCAACCAATTTCTGCAGTATGGTGGCATTATTGCTCTCAAATGTTTTTTGATCCTTTGGACATTATTGGTAACTTTGTGGGATTACCGTCTTCTGTTTACATGGTATCTATCTGTACTGTTTTTTAGTGTTGCTGTTTGTCAACGACACACAAACAAATTCTTAAAATGAATACTCATGGTATAGACCTTTTATTAAATAGATAATTACTTGCAGACTTTTTTATTTATTCATTTACCTGTTTTGTTACAATTCAAGCAATGATTAATAAAGTTAACCATCCCTCTTCCCTATAACTTCACAAATTTGTGCCTTTTGGTATTCAGGTTCAGGTTTAATTTAGTATTTACCACTCATTTTCACATTCTGGGGTATATGGGTATGCCTTGGACTGATTGTTGGGTCTTATATGTGGGCTTAGTAACTAACACAAGATTTTAGAAAACGATTTAGAGTTGAAATAAAGGAAATGGTGTTAAAATATGAGAATGAAGAAAAATATATTGTGCCTACAAGCTTGACTTAACAAATACATGCAAGGTCAAACTTATTTTGCAGTTTATCATTATTTTGTAGCGTTTGGTTTGCTCTAGTTTTCACCACATTACTTCTCAGGTTTGTTCCATTTGCAATCGATGGGGTGGTTCCTGTATAGGGTGCAGGATTGCTGATTGCTCTGTCAAATTTCATCCTTGGTGTGCACATCAGAAGGTACTTTATTTTCCTATTTGTGAGTTTATATCATACAACTTCTTAACATTGATGTGGTGGCTTTAATTAATTAAACTGTCAGAAGCTATATATATTCTTTTTATAAAGCTGGTTTGCTAATGATGTCTATTATCTGGGTAAATGTGCATGTATCTTTCTTACCAAACATACCATGAAGAAAAATGATCCCAAGCACTAGATGTGCCTAGGGATGTTGCCAGGGTTTTGTTTTTCTGGAGTACTAGTTGCTTGGGGTTCTTTTATGAGATGGGCTATTTTATTTGTATTATTGGGCTTCCTGCTTGTGATCTTAAAGCTTAGTAGACTTATGATTTGAGTGGGAATGTATTATATGTTACTATTACTAATCTTATTGTTAGTGGCTTTGGGTTTGTGGTCTTGTTAGTGGTTTTGGGTTTGTGCCAGTAATACTAGTACTAGGTTAGGGAACTGTATCAAAGTAGTACCAGTAATACTGCCAAGTACCAGTGTAATACTAGGACATTTGCTTGGGTTTGTACTAGTACTAGACTTGATCTAATTATTATTGGTATTTTTACAAATAGTTTGGAGTAATAGATAACAGTACTGTATTACATTTGTCAATTATATATTTAACGCTACTATTGTTATCCACCTTTTATGTATATAAAAGATGACTGAAAACTGTTTAAAGTGATTTAGTCACATGTAGAGAAGACTTTTGGAAGCACCAGTGAGGAGAGTGGATTTCACGATTTCTAGTCTGGTAAAAAGGGGTTGAAGGAGAACCTTAGATGAATTATTACAAAATGCCTTTTGATTTAATTAGACTTTTAAAAATTTGGTTTTTGACCAAGTCAATAGTTTCGTGTAATTCATATAGTCAACTTCTACCTAGTGGGATAAGGCATGGTTTTTGTTGGATTGATAACCATATTTATCAACATAAACTGTTGGTTGGATCAAGTATATACTGCTAGGCCAAAAGCTATACTCTATATAGTTAAGACACAATTTTTTCAACTCAAGTTCACCAGTAAGCACTGAAGTTAATGTTTCAAAGAGCTTGTCTATGAGGCATGCAGAAAGAGATATAAAGTCATTCACGCACTGTTGGTCTCTCAGTGGCACTTTAAAATGAGGATTTATAAACTATATTGAATGTTTGAAATAAGACTGTTGAAACATGAAGTGTTCATTTGACATACTTTAATTGTAATTTTCGTAGATAAAATCAAACCTTATCATTATGTGGTCAGTGGTGACATGTTTAGTTTTCTGCTAGTGTATTGGGTATGTCAAATTGAATGATATTCTGTTATATCTTGTTAAACAAACTATATGTAAAGGGAATTTCAGTGCTCACGTTTTAATGCAAGTTGAAGAAGTGAAGAATGCCTTTTGGATTTGTAACTTTGTATAACAAGAATTTGTTAATTGATGCTTATTATTATTCAATGCTCCAACAATACAACCAAGTAATTTATTTTCTCAAGTTCCCTTTAAGTTTAGAGTGTGTATATGTGTGTGCCAAGCATGGTACTGTGGTATGTTTTACAAATATATTTAACTCTAGGTCTTAAGAGACTTAGTAAATACTTGTGCTAGCTGATCATTGGAATTGACGAAGTTGTGATTTCACCTGAAAGAACTTGTACTCACAAAGTGGCAATTAGGCATTACTCTGGTATGCATTTTTTTCGCACTAGTTTGGTACCTAGGATGAGTTAAGAAATTTGTTATCTGCTAGCCATGTTTTATTGAATTTTGATTTGAACATTTATTATGATATCTTGTGTTAATAAATGTTTGACAACTTACATTAGTACTATACCATTAGGGTACCATAACTCCAATGACAATTGCTTTCCAACTTCTTTTGCAGAACCTGTTGCAAAGTGAGACTGAAGGTATTGAGGGTGAGAAAATTGGATTTTATGGAAGATGCATGCTTCATGCTGTTGACTCTAGATGTCAGTCTGCATATAATCCTATTGATGAAATGGGCAGTCAAGAAGAAAGGGAATTCACCTGTGCCAGAGCAGAGGTTTTAACATTTTTGAAACTTATCTAGAGTGTAGTGGAGGACTATATTAGTATTTTAATTTTCCTATGGTTTGGTAATGATATTAAATGCCTTCTGGATTATCGTAGGTTTACAAAGGCCGGAGATGGGATGGTTTTCAGACCAATCGTTACAGAGCCTTAAAAGCCCAGAGTGGATGCCTTGTTCCTGTGGAGCAGCTAAATGCTTGGATTCACATTAATGGGCAGAAATTGTGCTCACATGGACTCCCAAAATTTCCAGATTTAGACATTGAGCATGATTGTCGAGTATGTTCAAGTTGTATATATAGCATTTTAAACTTTCATAATTTATATCTTAATTATAAAATTGCATCTCTCTAATATAGTTTTATTTAATATGATAAAATTATTATTATTTTAATTTACAAAAATTATTAAATATAAAAATGTTTTAATTTAATAATATTTTAGGTGAATTTCTTTTCCTAAGATGGGTGGCTAATATATGATATTGTATTTGTTAGTATCGAATTTAAATCTCAGGCTAACGCAATATTAAAGCTAATTGCTAAGGTGAAGATAGCTTTAATTTTTTTTATACTTTTGTCATATTTGCAATAGGGTTTTTTTTTTTTTTTTTTTTTTTTTTCACACCCAGTTTTTTATATTACATTCTTTTTGTCTCTTCCTCCCTCTATACCTAAAATCCCATAATTTGAATAGCATTCAAGTCATGAAGATCAATTTTAGTTTTCCAAAAAGTAATTGTATTTTCAACTTCTTTAACTGAGCTGAAACTTAGGCCTTTGAAAACAAGTAATCTTTAAATGGAAAGTTACATTTGTATTCTTAGTTGGTATACTAGTTTTTTGGATAAGCTTCAGCCTATTTCCTGAGTATCTACTGTCCTGTCTGCAGAAGGAATACGCTCGGTACAAGCAAGCAAAGGGATGGAAACATCTTGTTGTATACAAATCCAGGATACATGCCCTTGGTCTTTACACTTCTCGGTTCATTTCCCGGGGTGAAATGGTACAGTACTGGCCTGAATGTGTGTCTCTGATATGATTGCAAATATGATGTTTCTCATGCTTCTATAGGTTGTCGAGTATGTTGGTGAAATTGTGGGGCTGCGTGTGGCTGATAAAAGAGAAAATGAATATCAATCTGGAAGGAAACTTCAGTACAAGAGTGCCTGCTACTTCTTCAGGATAGACAAAGAGCATATTATTGATGCCACAAGGAAAGGGGGGATTGCTCGATTTGTAAACCACTCATGCCTGGTATATTTACTTCAACGTTTGACTTATGTAATTTTTGTCAACTTTAGTATATATCCATTAATGCCTTGTCTATGCTTATGGTTGTTGCATTATAAGACCAATGGCTTGTGTAGTAGTTTGGCGGGGTGCCGTCAAATTATTTAAGAATGTTGGGTGTTGGTGATTTTGTCCTAAAAACTAATTTGCACGTACCCGCTGCGAAATATTTGAACCCTACTCTTTGCATCAATGATGTGAAGTGTCAACAGTAGCTTCTGTTTTCATTTGTACTTCAATTCAGCCTTTTAACTAACGGTTATTTACTTGGGCAGCCAAATTGTGTGGCAAAGGTGATTACTGTAAGGCACAAAAAGAAGGTAAGCTGTTCACATTTTATTCAATTTACTGAAATTTATTGGAACATTTCCATATATAGGTTATGATTGTTAGAAAAAGTGGGACCACTTTATTACCGTGCTACATTAGAGCTGTTTAATTCATGATTATCACAAGGCTACTGACGTAGGATTTGTTGGCAAATGTTTTCTTAAAGTAGAACGTATTAAGACATTGAGAATTAAATGTTTTTCAGATGTGTTGATAGTTTCTATGAAAATCTAGCTACACCCCTTCTATAAGCAATATCGAAAATCCCTACCCCGAGATGAAATTAAGATTCAACAGCATATATGGCATCAGCTTGCATCTTCCATTTTGACTGCACACTGATGAGACAACTTCGCTTTTGGTTTTGAAGGTTGTCTTCTTTGCAGAGAGGGACATATTCCCTGGTGAAGAAATTACGTATGATTACCATTTTAACAACGAAGATGAAGGAAAGAAGATTCCATGTTACTGCAATTCGAAAAATTGCAGGCGTTATATGAACTGATTGGCAATTGTAAATAACTTGAATGTTTTGTTGCATGTTCGATACCCATGAGTATTAACTGTGGGCCATCTTGTTGTGTTCATGACGCTAGCAAAATGCCTCTTCAATTCAAATCCTGGGAAAAGGCGTGGATTCATGTTACTGCGATGTGAACTAGGCACATTTGAAATTTTAAAGGATAATCGATGTATATAATTTGCTTGCAATTGCACGCTGGTTTTTGTAAACGAGCTCCGGCGTCTTGAATTGGTTTTAACCTTGCTCAATTAGTAGACCTTCAGGCTTAATGGAATAAAGTTAAGCAAATTTCAATTAAAAATCCAAATATTAGAGCTGCAGCTGAACGTAAGCATTCTATCAGGCACCAGTGACAAATCCACATGTTTTTATCACGTGTAACCCTCAGCTATATAAGAAAATCACACTTTTGGTTCTACAACACAAGTACATAAGCAGCAGTATGTACATTGCTCATCCGTGTCTAATGGCCATAGGTCCAAAGCAGTCTCCAGTGACTAACCACCTTTAGAGCTCTTCATGTCCACCAATTTGGAATACTTGCTGTAGCTTCGTTTACCATCTTTACAAGAGTCACCTGTCAAGGTTAATAACTAATTGTAAAAGTCTGCCGGATGGTTCTAATTCTCACCCATGCATTTAAATACGAAAAAACTCGAAAGGACATGCTTGCGTTTAATGTGTCAACCCATGCCAAAATATATACCCAAAGATAATAACAAGTTAACAAGGGGTTCAGCAATCAATTATCATCCACAAATTATGTGATATTCCTCAGTTTCTTTTAATCACAACATTTTGGGGGATATGTTGTGATTATTTAAGCATATTTTAGGAGAAAGAAGCATAATTTACTCTTAAATATGATGTTGCAAATGTTAATTTTGAATATAAACAAATAAATGACAACCTTCACAAGGTGCATGTACCTTAAAAATCGAAGTATCATCACCCAAATCTTGTAATAGAAATGAATGGCGCACTATATCTTTAGAACTACAGATGTGATTAAAGAATTAACCAGAACAGCTTTCATAGATTCTACCTATGGAGATTATTAATGATCAATTAGAATAATTTTTTTTTTTTTTTTTTGTCAGATTGGCAATGGTTAGTCAATCACACATCATCCAATCAACACACCAAATATGAACTTCATTGGCCGTAAGCAGTAAATAGAGAATGAAGTAAATAAACTAAACCAGCTGACTAACGTGTCACACTGTACCAGAATACCCCACCCCCCAAAATAACCACACTATCAAGAAAAAAAGGGAGGTGAAAACATACCACACTTTCTGGAACACCGGGTGGCGGCAATGTCAGATTTTTGGGTGGAGCAACATGATCATAAGATCTTTTATCAAACCTCCATTCCCCAATCTTTCCGTAGGTCAGCTCACCCTAAATATTTAACATCATACATTGAGTAACAAGTCTATGCAACAAAACAAGAGATATGTAGATGTACAGCTACTTGAGTGGTAATTGAATTACACAGTACCTTCATTGTATAGTCACAACCATAAGTGTAGTGAATTATGTATGACTTGCCGATTTCTTTGTCCCATGGAGGCTGGCACGCATTATAAACAAACAAATGTTAGTAAATTTAAAAATTAGGAGTGTTTGGGATAAATCCAGTGTATACAGACTATGAAATTATGTCTTTTAGTATAATGTTAGAAAATAAAAGGCAAAGAAGAATGAAATATTGACCAAAAGCCTTGATATTGTAATACTACGAAAAAGTCCAGGTAGAAAATAAAAAATGAATACAACATTGTTCTTGCACTATTCTATGTGATTTCGATAATATGTTAAAGACATCAACAAGAACAAAATTTGTAAACACTTTTCTAATGCAAGAATACCAAGCTCTATTATGTAAAAGTTAGACGAGGGAGTTTCTACAAAAGTTGAAATGCATAAACTGATTTTGATTTATTCAATAAGTTTGAGTCACTTTATTTTCTTCTACTACAAAAGTTTGTTCATAAATTTATCCAAATTGGAGCTAAGTAGAGCAGATCTTGATGAATAAGCTCTACACTCATGAGTGCAGTCTAAACTATGTCAAATAGCAGTTGGTTTTGTATGCTTGATAAGCACTTATTGCAGTAGATAAGCTAAAATAAGCTGAACCTATTCCAAGAACGGCTAACGTTATAAAAAAATATAGTATCTATTAGGGCCTGTTTTGTGAACATGATCAAATATGAAAGAATAGGATATAAGAGCTGGATAAGAACATGATAGGATAATAATAGGATAGATTTTTTATTTTATTTTATTTTATTTTACATTTGATGCATACTAAAATAACCAACTAGATACATCATGTTATCATATTCTGCCTATTTCTAACCCAGCTTCTTCCATAAGATAAAATTTACTCTAGAAAGAAGGATATGATTAGGACAAAAGGATAGACTTCTAATATCTTGTTTGTTCAATAAATGTTAGAAATAAGATAGGATAGAAAAGGATATCCTAATAGAGGATAGCAGAAAGAGAGAGAGAGACTTCTTAAACCTGAATCATGAATTCTTTGTATAATATGTTACGAACACCGTGGAGAGCAGATGCAACAGCATAAGCATACCTATATCAATGATGCAAAATAACAAAAAAAAGTCAACTTGTAGTGAGGTTAAAGGAAAGTATGGATAAGAGAAGGAAAAAGAAAAAGGAAAATTACATTTCAAGCACCCATCCAAAAGCTTTATCAGTTTCAGGATCCTTCTTCATTGCCAGGGAGATATTCATCCAAGTAGGAGCAATCTTTTTAAGGGGTTCCTAACATTCTTCCACACAAAATTAAAAAATGCCCAAAATCAAGAAAATCCAAAATTATTGCCAAAAACTAATTGACAAATACCTTTCCAACAATAACAGGAGAATTTCCAATTGGATCTATATTGGTTATTGATCCATTTTCCTCAGGAAAATACTTTCTTAGCACTGTCTCATACTTCTTAGGCTCAATATAAAAGAAAGGGAATGCAGCTCCTAGTCCATCTCTGGCTAAGTTTGGTATAGGTTTGACAATTATATGATCTGGTTCAGCCATCAATATGTAACTGATACACAGCACTAACATAAGTCAAAACCAAAATTAACCAAAACAAAAATGATTCTCAGTTTTGAATCTCAAAATTTAAAGTGACACGTCTCATACTCTTCTTTAATATCTGCTTGTTGAAGCCATTGTACAAATGCCCATGGTCTATTAAGGACTATGTAACCCTGCCATAGAGCAGATATAAGTAAGCGAAAGACTACACAGAATAAAGAGTAACTAGTAATTTCATCCCAGAAAATGTACCTTAGTTTAAAAACCATCATTGATCTAAATTAACACGATTTATAGTCCTTAAATAATTCAAACCCCATTTATGGTAGGAACTAGCATTTCATAATTTAACTCAGGAACTAATATACTCAAAAGTCACAATCCAACCCACAAATCCCAATGATAAAAAATTCCATTTTTATCCAAGAATAAGTGCATTTAAACAACTTATTCAAAAATTGGAGGACACCCAAATGAAAAATTTATTTATTTTTTGTTTATTAATAATCAAAATCACAATGTTAGAGAAACATGACACAACCCAACAGAAAAAATGAAAAAAAGAAATAACAGGAAAGAGAAGGGAAACCTGATCCATTCCGGCAGGTAAAGGCTGAGCAATAAAAGTGGGGATCTCATCCATGAACTTGTCAGGTTTGCCAGAGTGAAGGATCCTAGTGAATCCACCCATGCCAGATTGAGGGTCATCCTTGAACTTGTTGAACCAATAGTACATTATTCTGCACTGCCAAGTGTTGTAGACCGAGTCAGAAGCAGTAACTGCAGTGTGAAAAAGCCTCTTAGAAGCAGAAGAAGAAGAGGATCTGTGAAGTGGCATCTTGATAAGGGGATCCACAGAAATTGAAGGACGAGAAGGGCCTGGAAAATCTTGCTTGAGAGGGGCATTGGCAGAGATGATAATGTTGTATGTTATGAGAGCCACTGAGAAAGTTATCAAAATTGTGAAGAACAAATTGCCACACCCCATTTCTTCCTTCTTTCAAATTTGCACTGAGAAGGTTATCATTCGTAGAAATTGGAAGAATAAATAGAGAAATAATTATTCAGAGTTGTTGGATTTTTTACAACCCGGCGGCTCACTTCTACTACTTCTCTTCTGTGTCCGGTTGTTGAAACTCCAAAAGTCGTCTCCTATTTATTTATTTTATCAACAATAATAATAATAATAATAATAACTAAACTAAGTGTTTATTTTCTAAAAACATTGCCTAATTTGTTATTAGTTTTTATAATTATTTAAAAATACATTTATTTTTCACAAATTATTATTTTTAAATCTTTCTAACTGACGTGATGTATTAAAAAATTCTATAATTTTTAACAACAAACACTCAATAATAATAATAATGTCATTGTCTAGTTTGATTTCTATTTCTCTCTCATCTTTTTATTAGTTATTTTTAGATTATTTTATGTTGGGCAAGTGGATATAGAAGGACAGCTATCGCCCGTTGATGGCAAGATCTCTTTCAAATGTGTTTCACTTGCATTAATTAATTATATACCAAACTTTAAATGCTTTAACAAAATTTTCAAACTATATAAACTAGTTAATTAGTTTTTATAATTTAATATTTATTAATATTTTTGCATGTTTTGACGAGGTAGCTTAAGGAAAGTTAACGCATTAATAGAAGGGCATTTAAAACATTTTTGCAAAACATAAAAAATCATTTAAACAAGGGTGGTCTAATGCATATTTAGGAAAATAGAAGAGAAACTTACGGTAACGTAATGGCATTAACCTTTTAAAAAAATAGAAGAAGCGACTTTACTATCATCATTTATTAGCTTTCTTATTTTTCAACAAGAAGTTCTTTTGATTTAGGTATAGTGCCACGTACACTTCTAAGAAAAATTCAAGCATATTTATGTAGTCATAATTAATATTTTTGGTGTATTATATAAATTCTTTAAAATTTAAGTAAGTTTTGTCAGTAAAAATAAGTTAAATGACGTTAATAATTTTATTATTGATGATGTAGAATTTCTTTTACTACATAAAAAAAATTAAGAAATAGTGCTTCTAAAATTGAAGAGGGAATACAAATAAATTATCAACCAAGACACATATTTCTGATTGATATAGTGTATAAAAGCTCCATTTTTAAAAAAAATAAATTGAAACTAAAATTATAATATTTATAAATTTTTGCTTATCATGAAAAATATTATTTATTTTGATATAGTATGTCGATAATATTGAAAATTTGTATCAAACTTAAATTAAGATTAATTAAATTTAAATGATAGCATTTAAAATAAATAAAATTAGATATTTAATATGAAAAATTTATAACTTAAAAAGAAAAAAAATGACTCTTAAAATTTTTTCGCTATGATAATTAAATGTACATTTGACATGAATATTGCATCACTACAAAATGTCAAAATTTAAACCAAGATATTGAAAGTCGAAGCATCACTGTCCAACAATGTATTCAATGTGTCGAATTGGTAAACGATTACTTTCATAAAGACAACAGAGATTTTGGGGGGGATATTTTTACTAGAGATGTTCAAAATATATCAACTTGTGTTCATATCCTTATAAATACTTAATTTATCATATCCATCTAATTTACATTATGTTGTGATTCATGAGATTTAATATTTTAATTATTTTTTTATAATTAATATATATATTTAATTTTTTTTAATAAGCATTGTTTCTTAAATAAAAAATTATTTATTAAAAAAATGTTTAATTAATGATTTTATTTATTTACTAATCAAACTACGTGTCTAAAAAATTTTAAAATATGAAAAAATTTGTTAATCAAAACCACAAAATACCATTCAAATTGGTTCAATTTTGATATATTTTTTTTAAAAATAATTGATTAAAATTAAATCAAAAATTTTATTTATAATTAGTTTGAATATTTTTTTCTTCCAAAATTAATTCATATTGAATCGAAAACACTCTTAATTAAACCGATTCAAATTAAACTACAATTATTTATAACTGATTTGGAATTTTTTTTTTCTTCAAAATTAATCCAAACGAAACCCTAAATAATCCTAATTTTTTTATCCAAATTTGGTGCTCAAGGTGGATTGTTGGTGTATATTTATGTTGTTTAGAAGTAGAATTAAAAATGGATCAAATAAAGTTAGACTTATATGGTTTGAGCTTGGCCTAACTCTTAAAGTTAAGGCTCAAGCCTAATTTATTTACTTAATATGATCCATTTTAAAAGTATAACATAATTTTTTTAAAAGTTTGACTTAATTTGCAAACTTATTTTGTAATAAAAAGTTTTAAATAGGTAAAAAATTATCTCCAAATAAACTAATGAGCTAAATTTATATGAAAAAAAACTTAAGTCTTTAAATTAAATTAAATAAATATATTATTATTATTATTTGCTTGCCTTGTTAGGTCCAAAATGTTTTTTTTCAAACTATAATCTTTTTAAATAAATAATTTTTTAAAAATTCTTAACTTGACTTATTTAGTAATAAGTTTGGTCTGACTTATTAAAATAATAAGTTTAACTAAATTTAAGTTCAATATAGACTATCATATTTCTACTTGTACTTGAACTCCCATGATGCATGTATAACTAACCAGTAGTTTACCTTATTGGAGTTTTCTTTTTTAGTGTCATTTTTGTTTTGCTAAAGGAAATCTAGAAGTATCAACTTTTAAATGTGTTCAAAGGCACACAATAAGAATTTATGTATAATAATTTTTATTAAAAATAAAAAAATATTACAAAATTCAATATATTAATAACATAAAATGCTATATTTAAAAAAGAAAAACTACTTCTTGATTTCTTAACATATACTTTTAAATACAGGTTAAAAATTATTTTATTGAATATGATAGTTTATTGTTTGCCCATGCTAACCATACAGAAGTTGATGCTATTCATGGAACTCTTCAACCTTACGATGGAGCTTTAGGCCAACTAGTTAACATGAAAATTAGAGATTTTACTAAGTTAAAATGTTCTAAATATTAGTAGCGATTTGATTTTAAGATAGGACAGGTAATTAAGATGATGGAATGTCATGGAAGATATTGGAGGTTTCCTATCATCATTGAAAGGTACGAGGAGTCTATTTTTTATTTATTATTATTATTATTATTAATTTTTTTAATTTTTTATTTTTGTCTAAGATTATGTTTAGAAGAAGTTAAAGTGATGAAAGAAGAATGCTTTTCTCGAGTAAGGAAGAAGATAATCGTAGACGTGATAGCATAATTAATTCTTAGTATATTTAGATTCACTTTTTAAATTGTCATGCATTTACGTTTCAATGCTACCATAACTTCCAAACACACATTCTATCGTAGTCAAAATATGGAAAAATAATCGATTTCCTTGTTTCAAAATTTGGAGTCCATGTTTCTCTTTTAATTATGATTCCATTTTTCTATCGTAGCTAAAACATTTTGATTTTGATCTAAATCTTAATAGATGATTTTTGGTCAATGATCGATTATGAAATTTTAACCTCATTCGGTGTTGAACTTTTACAAACAGGTCCAATTCAAGACATACATCATAAGATAGAGTGGTTGATCTTCCTATTAATGAATTGGGCTTGAGTAAAATGGTTTGTCTCATTTTTCTTTAATTTGTTTTTTATTTTTTACCTTCAATTTTCTTTCTCCCAGTGCAAACAAAGGATCAATGCAAGAAAGGAAGGAAAATAAAGTCACTAGAGAAATGAAAATTGTACAATGAACAATTTTTTTTACAACTCAATTTAAATAAGAAGAGAAAAAATAATAAAATATTGTGTCAAGGATAGTTTTGTTTGGTTCCATTTATATGAGAAAGATAAAAATATTAATAATACTGATTAGATTTATATTTGAATGGCATAAACTATGTTGCTAGTTATTGTTTTTATGTAGGATTAATGTTTATAAAGTTTTCAGCATATTTTGAACACACGATCAAATAATAAAACCAGAGATAGGGAAGCCAAATCATCCAACAAAAACGGAAAGTAAAATCAGACACAAAGGAGACAGCAAAGAAAGAAAAATGGCTAGTTTTTTAGATTGAGGTGGGACAAATTAAGGCTAAATAAGTGGGTTAGATTAACAATTAACAAACATGAATAGAAGTGTTTTGGTCTGACCCAGTAGAATGTTCTTGACAAGCACTGGGTATTATGGCCTTAAGAATGGTCAACAAACTAAAAGCTACTAATATTTATTCCAAAAATAGATGAGATGAAGACGAATCATTCAGAAGAATGGGAATCCCATCTCTCTCGCATATTAAGAAATTAAGTGTGTTTGGATATTATTTTTGTTAATTATATGAAAAAGGTTTAAAAGAATATTATTTACTTTTGTTTGATAAACTTATAATCTTTAATTAATTTTTTATAAAGAAAATAACTCATTTAAAATAGACAAAATATCATTATTTTCTAAATAATTTTAATTTTCCATTTTATTCTTTATAATTAATTATTTATACAATCTAAACAGTAAACACAGTAAATTATGTTAAAACCATTTTTTACATAACATATCTGAACACAAAACTTGTTTTATATAATCAATTATATAAACAATCAATTATTAAACTAATATATTTTTTAATTAATCCAGACACCCGCTAATTAACAAACTAATACAACAGTTTTCTTTTTACAGCAAAAGATTGGACTTGTACAGTAGAAATTGCCACCCCATGACATATTAGCCAAAAAATAAAACAAAAGGCAGAAAAAAGACAACAATGGCCACATGGGTAGGCAAGGTTGTCATAACATAAATATACCAGAAGAGACAACACGGTTTTCACACAAAAATCGCAACCACGTTAATTCCACGGATTCTTAGGACTTAATTTCCGAACTCAATTTTCATCCTTATCCAACTCATCATTCAATCACACCCTCTACCCTCTACCCTCTACCCTCTCTCTCTCTCTCTCTCTCTCCCTCTCCCTCTCCCCCACAACTTATATATACCTCACAGTTCTTCTCTCTCACCACCACTTTCTCTCTCCCTCAAAAAAAACTCCATCTCAAGAGGGTGGAACAAACAATCCTTAAAAAAACAAAAGAGAAAAAAAAACATCATTTTTGCTTTTGATATTAACTAGTTACAATGCAAAGACAAACATCCTTGAGGGAGAAGTTGAAATCTTCAATATGTTGTTTCACGGGAACGGTTCACCACGATCCATTGGATCATGGAGAAGGGTTCTATAGCAAATTACACATACCCAGAACACCGACTTCACCAGCAGGGTCCACGGCATCTTCATGGTTCAAAATCAATAGTGTTAAGTCACCTACGAGCCACGAATTCGAGGCACCACGTGTGAGTGGTCGAAGCCTTAGGTCTCGAATGAATCGTAGGAACAATAATCGCCAATCACAATCTGCTGATTTTAGCTATGATCCTTCCAGCTATGCACTCAACTTTGAAAGTGAGTGCCCTGAACAGTTTCCATTCAGAAACTTCAGTTCTCGGTTGCCGGCGTCCCCGGTTGCCGGTGCCCCCGCCGCTGATCAAGTATTCCGATGAGATTGTTGGGTGTACTTGAGGTTCGTAATTTGTTGTCGTCGTTCAATTTGTTGGTGCAAGGTGGGTGGAATTAACAATGAAATTAAACAGAAATGCCAGCTAACACACTTCTATGAACTTAATTATTATTACATTCTTTGTAATTCGTTTATTTTTTTAAATGTTAAAATATTTATTTTATTAATTAATTACTTTTAAATTTTTAACAAATAAATCAATTATAAAAAGCACGTTGAAAGAACTATTTTAAAAAAAAAGTGTTGTTAGCAGCATTTAGAAAAAAAATAAAAACAAAAATTGGTAGTTATTGGAACTATGATTCCAATATCATTTGTATTGCTATGGGCTATCCCCCCTCCCTCCTCTCATGTACCAAAGTTGTGGATTGAATTGAGTCCAAGACTCGGCCTCATGAATTTGGATCCCTGATGTAAGTGACGATATATGGTTGTGTTTGAGTAAAAAAAATTGTAAATCTGCAATTACTCATGATAAGTTTTTATTTAAAATATGTGTTTTTTCTTTGATAACCATTACGTTTGGATTTGGACCTTTACGACTTAACCCAGAACAATAACCGTTTCTTATTGTTCTATAATGAGAGATCTCAGAGAATGCAAGCTTCACCTTATCACACAGTCTATGAGAGGTGAAGAGAAAGAAAAAATTGAAGAAAAACAAAACAAGAGAGTGAAAAATAGATTATAGCTTTTACTATTAATTACTAGATTATGCGATCCACCAGTTGATCATAAGCATCATTGCGTTAAACTTAACTTAGTAAACAATCAAGATGTTTCGTTGAGGATGATAATTACTGATTATATCGCGTTAATACGCTAATTTATTTGTAATTTAGTCCTCAGCCGTAAAATAAGCCATATGTCAATTAAAGGATAAATTTACTATCAAATAATTAAATAATAGATAAAGTAATAATGCAAATAAGTTAAATATTTCAGTAAAATAATAATAAAACAAAAAACAAATTACATAAGCATAATGAAATCATCTCATTCAAACATATCATACAAAACTCAGTTCTGATTCACTGCTGCATAATCAATTTGCCTCCTGATTTCTTCTGACTCATTAGAGTTGTAATTCAACGCATTAATTAGAAGGTAATTCAGAAAAAAAAAAAATTCTAGATTGAAGTTCATTCAGAAACTAGAACTAGGTTACACTATAACCAGCTTGGACAAAATGGAGACTAAATCCAATAATGGGATCCACTTCTTTTGAAATAGACACCATGATTAGATTAACAAAACTGTACAAATTGACCTTTAAATTGAATTCAATACTTGACTGACTCTCAAAAACAATTCCAATGGTCTGGTCAAATAGGGGACCAATCTTTGGAATGAAAGTGTCCAACCAGAAGTCCAGAACCTAGCATTGTGTCTATTCCCTAAAATCCAACAGATTTCTTTAGAAATTACACTCCACATTTTACATATAGCTTTTCATATTAACGAATCAATAGGTTTAACTTCAACTTCTAGTTGAGAATTTTGAAAAATGATTAATCAAATTAATCCAGGCTCCATTAGTCATAACTCTGTCCAAGTGAAACCTATATCCCACAATTAACAGTTCTCAAGACATTGTGAAAATAGTATCATTGCCCTCTTTAGGTCTCAGCCTACTCTCACTCATTTTCTCAACAATGTTTGGCCCATTTCTCATATTGTCACTGTTTGAATTATCAGTTTTCCCTTGTTCCAGATTTGTGTCCATTTCTTGTGCTTATGATCACCTTTCCTTATGCCAATTACTTTGTATCTGTCCATAGTGGAGAAACACTCAGGCTCTCTCAATGATCTGTGTAGTTAAGATACATAAATTGATTCACCAATTTGTATAACTTATGGATAGTTATGACATCCCAACTCCATAACTATTTTGAGAGAGATTTATTTAATAACTACACTACGGTCTTCATTGATGTTTAAATTTCATATATTTATGCATTGCATTGCTTTTATTGAATTTGAATCATGTGTGTTTTTTTTAAGCCAAAAGACTCTAGAAAGTTTTCAAGTTAAAAGGGTCTATAACTAATTCTTAGTTAGTGACAATAGTTAGTTATAATAGCTAGTAAGGAAATTTTGCAGGTGTTAGAATTTGAGTAATTTAAATTTAATTTAAAAATTTAAATTTTATATATTATATAAATAAAAATAATGTGTTTTTATCTTAATAATTTTTTAAAACTTCAGTTAATTAGTTATTTGGCAGTTATTTCAATATTTTTTTATTAAATGTTACAATTGAATATAATAAATATCCATTATTAATATGGCACACCAACAAAAATAATTTATTACAATTAAATATAATAAATATTCATTAAAAATAATAAAAATATTATCACTCATTTTAATTTTTTTTACTATAAATTTTATATAAATTTAAAATATTCATCTAATGCAAAAAACATAACAATTGGTAAAAACTCTCTCTTGTTATGGGTGGGAAGTCATCAAAGCCAAAGAATCAAAATACTAAAAAGTCATCAAACTCAAAAGAACAAAAAGCAGAGAATGTTGAATGTAGCTTTCTCTCAAGACCCGACACTCATAGGAACCGGTCACATCATAGACAAGAACAAAAAGTGAAGGGAAATGAGTTGTCAGAAACCAATGAAGGGTTGAAGACATGCCATGACTCCAACAATAAAAACAAAGAACAATTTCATTATGATTCTACTAGTTATGCTCTAAATTTTGATGATGGAGTAGATAAGAATAATGATGTAAATTTTCCAAATTTCTCTAAACGATTTGCAAACCCTCGTGGTCATGAAGTAGAAAATGAGTCAACAAAGAGATAAAATATGTTATAGATTGAAACTTAAGGTTAACTCCTATTCAATTATTGTGAAATTGTTAATTGTTAGAAATCTTATACCATTGTTAGCATTTTTTTATTTGTTATTTTTCTTTTAATTTTTATTAAAATAGTGATATGGTTTGAGTACATAGTGTAAATGTTGCAAGGTTATTAAGAAATGATGAAAAGAAATTTACTATGAATTTATAAAAAATAGTTTATAATTCTTATATAACTAGTAGAGGAGAGAAATTTAATTAATTTGTGTTTCCTTTGTTTGATTTATAAGAAGAACGAAAGAACAGCAAAATTAAGCTATTATAATACTCTTAATTGAAGCTTAAAAATTAAAGCTAAAATATTTTTATAAATTATTTGACAAACATTAGGAGACAAAAATTTCTTTTATAATCCACAGCTCTCCCACATTGTTTGATAACGTAAAGTAGTCAAGAGTTTTCACACTTACAATAATTAGTCTACCCTATCCTTGTGTTATAATAACAACATAGAAGAGAAGACCTAGTGATGAATTGATGATTAAATTAATATTAATATTTTTTTAATTAATGAAATAATCAATTATAAAATTAAAAAAGTCTAATACCTAATACGTCTTATTTAAGATGAAACAATAAAAAAAAAGACAATATTTCAAATATTACAATCTTCAAACTTTATATGAAATAATATATTTACACAATATTTTAAGATATAATTACAATAAACATAATTTATACTTTAAAAAATACCTGATTATAAATAATATATTATTACAAAACTGTATGGATATTATTAAATTAAAATTAAAATAATTAAATAAAAATATCATTATATAATTAATTTTAAATTTAATATATTTTATAATTTTTTAAATATTTTAATTATTAAGTAAATTAAATAAAGAGATAAAATTTTAAATAAATATTATGAAATATTCAAAATTTAAATTTTAAAACTATAAATGAAAAGATATATTTTAAAATAAAACTATAAAAGTTTAAATTAATAATAACTATTATATTATATTAAATTAAATTAAGGAATAAAAAGAGAACTAACAGTTAGTAAAATTTGTTTGCATAGGGTAGAGTTTGAGTAATTTAAATTTAATTAAAAATTAATTTCTTATATATTATATAAATAAAAAATAATGTGTTTTTATCTTAATAACTTTTTTAAACGTATCTTGATTCAGTTATTTCAATAATTTTTTATTAAATATTATAATTGAATATAATAAATATTCATTATTAATATGGCACATAAAAAATAATTTATTACGTTAAATAGAATAAATATTCATTAAAATTAACAAAAATATTATCACTTTTTTTTTTTTTTACTATAAATTTATTTAAATTTAAAACATTCATCAAATGCACAAAAACATTATTGAGAAAAAAAAATCTCTTATTGTCATGGGTGGGAAGTCATCAAAGCCAAAAAATCAAAATGATAAAAAGTCGTCAAACTCAAAGAAACAAAATACAGAGTGTTGAAATTATTAAATTAATTATAAATAGTATATGATTACAAAATTGTATGAATATTATTAAATTAAAATAAAAATAATTAAATAAAAATATACTACTATATAATTACTTTTAAATTTAATATAATTTCTAATTTTTAAAAAAATTATTAATAGAATCAAATAAAGATATAAAAATTTTAATTAAATATTATGAAAAATTAAAATTTTAAATTTTAAAACTATAAAAAATATAAATTTTAATACGAAAATATAAAATTTAAATTAATATTAACTTAAAATAAATGTTAACCTGGAAAAATTACTTATCTAATGAAAGAGAGATCTAACCATACAAGTTAAAAAAAAAATTTAAGAATATTCTCATTCAAAAACTAGTAATCACAAATTATATATAAAAGGTTAATAAATTTTATAAATTAAAATAATAAATATTATAATTATTAATAGTAAATATTATATCAAATTAAATTAAGGGATAAATTTTTAAATTAAAAAAATAAAATTTAAAAAACATAAATTTAAATTATTATTAAATTAAAATAAATAATTAAAATACAAATTCATGTGTTGCATTGCTTTTATTGATTTTAAATCATCTGTTTTTTTTAGAATTTGAGTAATTTAAATTTAATAAAAAATTAAATTTTATAAATATTATATAAAT